TTCAAGAGCGGGTGGTACAGAAGTCCTACGCGGGGGGGAGGAATATTTATTATTAATAGGAATATTCTATGGGCATATAGGAATTGTCTTATTTTTAGCTAGTCGTCATGAAAATTAGTTGTATACCGCAATCAGCCATACTGGTAATGGTGATGGCATTTGCACTGATAATTGTAGATTATTAATTAAAATAAAACTTAATATTACGAACAAAAAAGTATTTTTAAAGAGATTTTTATTAATTTGAGCAATGATATTCCACTTCTAAACTGTGTAACTATCACGATGTAAAAACTAACTCAGATTATTAAAATTGATACAATAGGCATTATATATATTTATATTTGCCTGCAGTAGTAATATTGTGTTTCTTTATTACATACGGTGTAGTGTATTGCTGAATACTTCATACGCGGTCTCCGTATATGTGAACAAAATAATAAATATGCACTATCGCATACCTACTCGACAAAGTGTCAATATTATAATATTATTTTATTGTGTTATAGTATTATGTAAGTAGGTACGTACGTTGCTTACCAGTTACCACACATTTTAGAACGGGGAATATGAATGGGGGACTTGGTGGTTACTTCTTAGCCATCTGAGTCCCGATGGTACAGCCATTCGTTTTAACATTTCCCGACTAGGACTTTCTTTTCGGACATGCATTTTGCCAGAGTTCAAGATTATCACATGTTCACATTCCTGCTCCTGAAAATAGTCGCTACTTCGAATACGGATACCTAGGATATTCTAGCAGGCAGAATTTAGTTTTTTTCTTATCCAATCAATTTAGTTTTGGTGGCCTTCGGTCTTGGCCTGAGCAGTGCTTTAACAGAAAATGATTGCAGACTCGTCCCCGTTGAATTTTTATTATGATGGCAAGTCAAGTGCTTTCATAGTTCCTCACCATTTTCCTACCTGTACCTTCAGCTGAGGCTCTAAAACGGCAACTCATCGAACCTCGTGAAAAGGTACCAGTTTTCCGAGTATTTCCTCGGCCTGGAGCAAAAACCACATCGGGTCTTCCTCTTACAGGGAAACTCTAGTATCATATTCAACTCATTTTGAGAAATGAGCAGCCTTTTTGGTAGTACAGATGTTTTACACCGGGAAAAGTAATTCAATACCCGCTTGCTCTTGACTTCTTCACCGGACAAAATTTATTTTATTTAACTTCTTTACATTTTAATAAATGACTGCACGCCATCGCCTTCAGACTCGAAGCGAACTGGGACAAAGCCGGCCTCCCCCAAATTATGTTATACCTATATAATACTGCAGTGTACACGCGTAAATAAAATTCCACACCTGTTGTAACTTGTAGTGCATCCGTGCATATTATGTATGTATATAAGTATTAAATACCTATTATTGTTTAGTTGTCGGTATAAGAAACGTTAGATTTTGAAACTATAGCTACCTACCTATTTAACATTTAGATTTCATACTTTTGGTTGGTTATGGTTTATGCAATGTTGAGAAAGTTCACTTGAAAATTGAATTTGTTCACCCGTGTTGCATGACGTTTGGCGACATCGAACGTAAACCCAATAAATATTTAAAAAATATTCTTACCGTGAACAAATCGTGGTTTTGATATTGCGATAGAAATTAATACTATTTTTAGGTTAAAAGATGTTCTGCCAAAACTGAATTTGTCATTAGAGCTACCTATTTTACATAACTTACTCAGAAGTCACTTTTTTTCAAAATAAAGTATTCTTAATAAAAACTTTTTTTAATCAGTAGGCTTCTAAATTATTTATTTATATGAATAAATGAAATGCCCCCCCTCCATTCAAGGTAATAAGTGAACTGACTAAAATACCGCCATTTGAGCTGAAAAAAAATATTGTAAAAAATGTATATAAAAATATTTATGAATTTAAAAAAAGAACTATTGTAAACTGGTTGTTACTTAATCTTTAACTGTATTGCATGTCTAATTAGGAAATAAGTTATTTAAATACTGTAATTTCTATGTATTTTATGACTTTTATGACTTTATTTGTTAACAAACAACTCATTTACCTCGCCACAAGCTATGCTTAATGGGGTGAATTAAATAACTAATGTATGTAACTATATTATTTATTCAATAAAAAAAAAAAAAAAAAAAAAA